GTTAAGAAGCTATAAGCCAAAACGTAAAAAAGCATACCCTACCCATCCGCCAGCCTAGCCTGAATGTTAGAAAATACAAGAATATTATTCAAGAATAGTAGGTAAACCAAGAATTCTACGCCCAGGCCTGCCTGTGCTGCAGTGTGTGCTTGTTAGCAGGTGCTTTGTGGTGTGCTGTGGCAGCTGCAGCTGTCGCCAGAGCATATGCAGCTGCTCCCTTCGCTCCAACCATGGCGCGTCACCGTCTCCTCCTCTTCCAGCCCCAGGCTCAATCGTCTGCACGGGCCACTCCGAGTAGACCTCGTCTCTCTCATCGTATTTGGCACCTCCATCTCTCGCAAGCCGCCAAGAACGCAGTCTGCGCGATGCCGGCGCCGTCCCATCCACGTTTACCAGCTCGCCACCCATGAGCCACCGGGCTGAGCGCAGCTCTGCGAAAGACTTCCTTCACTTACAACATGCCACTGTCTGTCGCGAAAGCCCACCGCCAGCAGCACGCAGCTCTAGCAGCCAGCATGTCCTTCCCACACTGGCGCGTCGCCATCGCGCGTCTTCGACCGACGACAGAGCCAGCTGACCGTTCGCCGCAGCCATGTCCTCGGCGTCAAACTCGCGCACGCCACCTTCCCACACAGCCCTGGCGACTGCGACTTCTGCGACACCCGCGGGGCCAAATGTACCCACAGGCGCTTCTGCCTCACCGCCGTGATGCTGCCGTGACGGATTCGGTACGCACGCCTCGCGGCCTCTTCCTTTTGAGCTGACCAGCGCCTACAGAGTCTCGTTGTCGTTTACCTTCAGACCCGACATCGAGTCCGTTCTCTGGGGATCAGGGCCTCTATCACTGTTGGACACGGCAATCAATCTAGTGAGTTCCTGCTCACTAAACTCACTCTCAATGCCTCATCTCCATGCCGCGTGCAGACCAGACCCGGGCCAGCCGACCTCACCTCAGTGACCTGATATCTGACAACTGCCTTTTGACATGCCGATTTTGATGGCTGTCTGAGCAAGCACCTACCATAGCCGCATCTTTTGCTAGTCAATAGAAACAGCAATTCAGGCGCAGAAACGTACTATTGCTCCGTGCCTCTCCAGGCACCAGCGACGCAATATTGTTGCGCAACGACTCGCACTTGTAGTGGTCTGGCCCAAACGTCTTCTGATAGCCGAGAAGGGCTTGCGAGTACCAGCGCCTAGCGTCATCTACACGGCCTTGTCTTTCGCGCAAAGAGGCGAATGC